TACCTCTCCCTACTATATCTAAAAAATAAATCAAGGTAACTGGACTTGTATTTTTCTTCAAGGCGTTTCACTGGTCATCCAACCAGCTTTCTTTATTTAATTTCTGAATTGAGAAAGCTGGTTGGATGACCAGTGAAACGCCTTCAAGAAAAATACAGCAAGTCCAGTTGTCTTGCTTTTATTTTTTAGTTATACCATGACCTGGATGAATGAGAACCTTCACAGGCATACTCTCCCTACTATGCTTGTCCTGCACAGCCTCATCTTTAAATTCTTTCAGGTCCAGCTCCTTCAGATGCAGGTTCCTTTTTAGTACTCAAGGTAAAAGGGTCAAACAGTGCTCCCCTCCTATGTTCTGTCAACGATTGCAGGTCCTGTTCTTTTTGCTCTCTCTTACTCCTAAAGCATGCAAGGTGGCTGCATCTGACTGGAAACAGGCATCTGAGCTCAATAATTGTAACTGCATGAAAAGTATAGTTGCGCGCTAGAGTTTAACCAAACTGGAGACCCCACTAGAAATGAGCTATTGATTGGCTTCATTTCACAACATAAACTGAGCAGTGAACCTGTTTTGCTGATGACTGATAATACAATAGGTGTTATACTAAAAAAAAAGTACAATGGAATGGAGTCCTTTTAAATACCAAGAGTCCATTTTATTATGCCACTTTTAGACACTGTATTACAGGCTTACCATACAATGTTAATGTAATACATTTCATATTTTTAAAATACTAAATATAATAATAATGTTGTCTTTTGGAGGTTCCGAAAACTACTTGAACAATTGAAATAAAAGTATCAACAAGGGCGCAGCATTTAAAACTCCAGGCAAATATTAATGGCCCCTTTTATTAACCTAGTTTTCAGCTAGTGAAAGTACCTGAATTTGACTTCTTATTACTTTCTCCTAAGACTTAAGCAGGGAGAGGGAGGAGCAGCACTTTGAGCCACTCCACTGTATTGCACAATGCTTTCACTCTATCACTGGGAGTTTGCTTGTAGAAGGGGAGAACACAGAGATACCCTCATCAGTGAGTCACTGCTCTTTCAATATCAAATTACAAGCCAGGACAAGACACTGAGCTGACTGTATCACTTGAAGGAATAGTTCACCTTTAACAAAAAAAATGAATAAATGCACCAAGGATGATGAAATAAAATAATTTTTTTGCATTTCAGCCTGCAGAGCATTGCAACTACAATGAATGTGTTGCAGGTGCAATACTTAGGCTTTTGCATTGCTTACCAAGGTCTATACCTGCACACATACCTTCTGTTATGGGGCTGGAGAAAGAAGTGAATAACTACAAGTATAGTGATGTCACCACTATGCTACCGGCATGCTCTGCTGTGAGATTTCCTGAGGAAGTGGCCAATAAGCAACAATGGAAATAAATAATAAAATGTGAAGTTTAACCTCCAAAGTCCTTTTCTTCCAATACGGGAGCCTCTGCTTACCTCCTTTCCAGTTCCTAATTTCTGTATCCTAACCCCTGTAGCTAAAAATACACTCTCGGCTATCTTCTTTGATTCGCCTAAACAAAATTTTGGAGCATCCATTGTGCACAAAACCATGTGTTCAAATGTTGCTGTCTGCCATAAGTGTCTGCTTGAAGTTATTGCTTGCTGTCAAGGAATTTTCACATAGGCGCAGCTTTCCATTTTGTCTGTAGTACCCATATGGCAACAACATTTTCTGTTTAGCACAATGACACTTAGTAGTCTACACAAGCATACAGAGTCTATTAGAGTGATCAAGCTAAATGTACAAAATGATTCTCATCTCATAGTATCACATTAGCCATAAGGGCAAATTTTCAGTCTATTTTTAATTTGGCATTATTCTATTTCTTCAGAACTGGAAATCCTTGGCTTTATTGACATTGCAGACATCTCCAGTCCTCCTGTCCTTTCTCGTCACCTGGTCCTACCTATTGCTCTTAATAAAGGTGAGCATTTACTGAGATGTGTCTTAGAACCAGGCTGTAAGTGTACCTAATAATTATTTGATGTCTTTTATAGAGGGTGATGATATTGGGCCTGGAATTACGGATGACTTGGAGGATGAGAATTCTGCCAGCCAGATAGCAGGAAAAATCCCAAATTTCTGTGTCCTACTGCATGGTAGCCTGAAAGTAGAGGGGATGGTGGCCTTAGTACAGCTGGGGTAAGAGAACGTGCACTATGTATGTATGTATGTATGTATTTATATGTGTGTGTGTGTCTCAAGAAAGTGACTATTATGCAAACCCTTCGATTATAATTAATCTTCTTTATTGGCTCTGTAGGAATGACTGGTGTGGTATGCTGTACTCCCAAGCTGATAGCAAGAAGAAATCCAATCTGATGATGTCTTTGTTTGAGCTTGGATCCGAGCCCTTACCCTGGTTGGGGAGAATCTCACAGCTTGGACCTATATCTGGTATAATAAAACTGATCTAGTGTAAAGCCTCAGTAGCTCAGGTGTTGTGAATCACTCTGTGAGGCTATAGAGCAGTTCATGAGGTTTTTTTTTTATACAATAGACCACTAAACTAATGAATGATAACATTATACTAGACTTGGTATGAAATTGGTCTGGAACATATTGTACTATTGTATGCCTGTGGAATTCTTTTAAAAGGATTTTCACCCCAGCTAAATTTGAATTAGCTGAATCAAACTTGTATTAGTATGGATACCTTCTCCTGCCCCAACTCTGTGAGGCTGCCCATACACCTTGCTATCATCGGACGGCACTTTTCGTCCGATGATCGAACCGTCGTACGATTTTCGTACGGCGGCCCCATCCTGCCCTGATTATCGCAAGGTTGGATCTGTGGTAATTAAAAGAAAGCACCTGGACGAATTGCGGTAATCGACCGCATGTATTTTCGTATGCGCAGTGTAAATCGTACAAATTTTGACGTACGGAAATGCCACCTACCTTGCGAAAATCGTACGATCGACCGAAGTTTTCTAACCTGCTGGTCAACAGTCGATTGATTGTAGAGTATTTGCGGTTGTACACTGCCCATCAACCTTAGGAATATCGGACGAAAACGCGATTGCATACGAAAATAGGCCGATATTCGTAAGGTGTATGGGCACCTTAACAGTAGTCTTACCAATTCACTCAGTAATGGTTGCTGTGGCAGCAAAGTGCAGGGCAGGTTTGCCAGACTTAAAGCAAACCTGTGCTCCTATAGATTCAGGTCAAACAGACAGGTTTGCTTTAACACTATTGCCAGCTATATAGTTCACAATTCTACAAATTCACTTTAAATATTCAACAGTGAAATGTTATCAGTGGATTAGTGATATACTTGGAATACATGTGTTTTTTCAGATGCCAAAGAGAATCCATATGGTGAAGAAGATAACAAGAGCCCATTCCCTCTGCAGCCCAAGTCCAAGAGAAGCTATGCACAGAATGTAACAGTATGGATTAAACCCAGTGGGCTGCAGGTATCTGCCTTGATGCTGTGTTCTTAGTCAATACTATGTCCTGCAGTGATTTAGGGGCTTGCTGGAAGAATGACTGTGTGTGGTGGAGGACCAGGTATCCAACACACCATACTGAAAGGTAAAGGTAGAACATTTATTCATCACCCATATATAGCAATGTTTTGATGCCCCCAGCGACCTCATCGCTTTTCATGGGTGACGCATTTAATTTCCTATCTTTAACTTTTAGGTATGCTGTGATGGTGATGATATAGCACTGAAGCTAGGGAGAGCCAGAAAAAAATAGTATTCATAGAAGTTGGTCAGCGGTGGAAAGTACCATATTTCTCTCTGTATAAGTTTACTTTAAGGTCTGTGCTCAGCATTCCTAGACTGGAGCTCGTGATTCAAGAAAGGTGCACACAGCTTGGGACATGCTTTTCAAATGTTGCTGAATTGACCAGCTTTAGACCAGCATTTACAAATTAGTAAGGCTAGTACTGATTACAATTTTCGCGTTCGATTAATCAATTTTTTTGTTCAAAATCGATTAATCGACTAATTTCGATTAATTATAACGCACATACAGATCCAACTACTTTTAGCTGATCTGCTTGCATTGCAACTCTGCATTAGTCAGTGGTAAATGATATATACAGGGTTATTCAAAAAGAATTAATCGATTTCTTTATGCAATATATTATTAAGGAAAAGTAATACAAAACTCCAGCCAAGTCACAAGTATTATTCTCACAATCAACTTTTATTTCCTGTCTTACAAGTGTTCAATGTGACCACCAACTGCAGCACGGGCAACATCAATGTGATAAGAGAATTCCTCCCAGGTGCGCATCAGCATATCACGAGCCACTGAGTTGATCGCTGCTGTTATTCGATGTTTAAGGTTTTCGAGGTTAGTGGGTAGCGGTGGAACATAAACGCGATCTATTACATATCCCCACAAGAAAAAAAATCACACACGGTGAGGTCTGGGGATCTCGCAGGCCAAGCACAAAGAGCAAGGTCATTGGCCCCCTTCCGAGCAATCCATCGCTGGGGCACTTTTTCATTTAAAAAAGCTCGAACCATTAGGTGCCAATGGGGCAGTGCTCCATCTTGTTGAAAAAAAGAATGAACCGATATCATGACGCATTGCTTCAGTTCTCAATCATCGTCATCACCGTGTGTGATTTTTTTTTTTTTGTGTGGGGATATGTAAAAGATCGTGTTTATGTTCCACCGCTACCC